GTGGAACTAGACAATCTCTCAACCAGAGCAGCAAAAAGATGGACAAAGCACAAGTACCTCCACCTCCTCCAGCTCGTCTACAATCTTCAGATCTTCTATCACTTAGCCAAATCAGCACAAGGAAAGTACCTCCACCTCCCCGTCCACGACATCCCCCTGGACGATATTCTTCTTCTTTACCACTACGATATCACTACCAAGACACAGAAATGGCAATATGTCTTCTAGCTCATCCAACTCTCCCTCATACCCTCTATCATAAATACCGCAAAAACGCCAACTCTACTTGCTTTTCATGCGGGGAACATATATCCTTGAAAAATGATTCCACATTCCATCACCACTGCGACAGATGTGATGTGGAGTTCCACCGCGGTTGTCACAAGTTTCCGAGGAAGACAACACATCCTTATCACCCCCAACACCCTCTTACTTTCACCTTTCGAAACTATCAAACCGGCATCATATCTGATGGCAATATCGATGACTCATTTTGGAATACAATTATGTCTGAAGCCAACACATCTGATTCTGAGAAGCCGGAATCTGTTGAAATCAGTCAGTCTCAATCCGATGTGGTACTCGATAAATGCACATGGTGTGGAGGAAGTATCGAGGGAAGATGGTTCTACCGTTGTTCTATATGTAACTTCTGCTTGGATCTCTCTTGCTTCCAAAATAATCCACTTCTCTTCGTCGCAAACCCAAAGAGTCATCACCATTCACTCGCCTTCTACCCTCGACCCCTCTTAACTCCATGTGATGCTTGTGGGTTTGTCAGTGCGTTGGAACCGAGCTATTCTTGTTTTCAATGCAATTACATGGTTCATCAAAGTTGCATCGACTTACCACGAGTCATAAAGATCACGCGTCACCAACACCGTCTTTCCCATACTCCTTACCTTCAGTCCATAGTTCCACCATGCCGGGTGTGCTATAAGACAGTTGACAACAAGTATGGCCAGTATTCTTGCAACCATGATGGTTGCTCTTATATAGTCCATTCAAAATGTGCAACACATGAAAAGATATGGGATGGGAAAGAACTCGAATGGGAACCCGAAGAACCCGATCAAAGTGAAGATATTGCGCCATTCAAGAAAGTTGGCAATGGTATGATAAAACATTTTTCTCATGACCATCTTCTAAAGCTAGAGAAGTTTTGTGGTGTTCGAGATGCAGAAAAACAATGTCAGGCATGCATCCTTCCTATCGAATCTCGTGATTTCTACAGCTGCGTGCAATGTGATTATTTTCTCCACGAGGTATGTGCTTGTCTACTTCGAAAATTGGATCATGCGTTGCACGTTCACCCTCTTGTCCTAGATCCCTCTCCTAAAACACAATATAATCACAATGGTTGTTCAGTTTGTTCCAGAAAATCCGCTGGTTTTAGGTACAAATGCTCTATAGAGAATTGTGTGCTTCAAACTCAGATAGATGTTCGTTGTATTTTAGTTCCAGATTATTTCACCCATAAAGGTCATGAACATCCCTTATTCCTCTCCTCTCCGTCCTACAATAGTAGAAATAAGATTTGTTGCAAGGGTTGCAAAAAGATATGTCTAGAGTCTTACCTACAGTGTACTGTATGCAAATTTGCTATGTGCTATCATTGCGCTACCATTCCAACTGAAGTAAGCTACAAATACGACAAGCATCCTCTTTCCCTTTGTCACGGAGAAGAAGAAGTGGATGGTATGTACTGGTGTGAAGTATGCGAGAAAGAAGTTAATCCAACGGATTGGTTCTACACATGCAACCAATGTTGTATCACTATCCATCTTCAATGTGTATTCGGAGAATATGTTTATATGAAGCCGGGTTTCAAATTCAAGTATCATATAATGCTTTACTTATCCAACTTAGAAGTTATCCGTAACAGCATTAGCACTCGACCGCTTTGCAATAACTGCGGTCTCCGATGTCCAAGTTCTGTCTACTACAAAAATCTTGATGGAAGGGTTTCCTGTTCAATGAGTTGTATAGAGAAAAGGAAAGTTTGGTTGGAAAAATGATCAACTTTCTTTGTTGTATTATTATTATTGGATTTGCATGTTGTTGCCTTTGTTTATTTTGAAAGACTTCCATCACTCTTTGAATGGTAAATTTTTTGCTTTGTAGCTTTTCTTCTCTTTCATAATGCTCTCACTTGAGATTCTTCTTCCCACTATCAATATTCAAGTATCAACGATCATTGACACCCATACTTTGACTCAAATCCAACCCATTAACATTCAATCTAACCAAAAATTAGAACCGAAACTAAATCAAAACTAGACCAAAAATTAAACCGAATTAAGTATTAACCGATAGTATCAGAGTTCCGGTTAGTCTTCCTTTTTGGTTGCCAAGGATTTTTCTGTTTTCACTTTTCTTTGGGTTTCAACTTTCAAT